AAGTGAAATCTTTTGTTTTCTTTCGCGCCCAGAGGCGATCCCAGGCCACGAAGAGCGTTATTAATCATGCAAAAAATAAAACAAAGAAGAAAAATCAAGAGAGAAACAAAGTATATACATGGACGTGTAAGCGAAGAAATTGATTTACATTTTTCGCTGTCTGGGAACAGCTCGTAGCTTATGCTATCGACACTTGCCTTGCCGCCAAGTTGCACGCCAAAGTTGCCACGTAACGCTGCGCAGATTAACCTTCTAACACAGATACTTAGTAGTGTGAGATACTCGGACAAAGGGGAGACTTCCTTCTACCAGATTCAGATACAGTTTAGCTGGCTAACAAAGCGTGAAAACGACAGGCAAGCGGGCCAACAGCAAACGAAAAACGATGACAAACAATGTGACCAAGTTTGGCATTGGTAGGCGGGAACAGAGACGTGCTCGCAAAAGGGGTCACAGAACGTTCGTTTTGGGTAATTTATATATATTTTAGAGAGTTCTGAAACATGAGATACTCCTACCAAACAGAAAAGATACAAATTCAGAGCAGATAAAGTAGCTGAAATCGTTTTAAAGGTATAAAAAGTCACCTGAAAGTGAAAGCGGAAGTGGTAGCAATATAAATAAGATTACTCAAAGTTCTAAAGCAATTAATGTTGTTACTATTTCCCCCCGGGACGCCCCTGCTCATGCCAGCTATTGTGAGTGGGCGCTGGACAATCTCCGAGAGCGGCGAAGTTGTCATCGTCATCATTGAGGCGAATGCCACACGTACAACATGCTCGTAGATGGGCCGCTTAGATGTCTCTAAATGGGAGTAGCAATTACTAATTTCCTTAGTAAAGCGCTCGGCTCAGGGGGAATTTAGTTGTAAGACCTGACAATACCCACAACAACGCAAAGATAGTTCTTCCCCCCGTCTAAGGCCTGCTTCGAGCCTGGCCCAAACGCGATTCTTCATTCTCGACTTTGCGGACTCCTGGCCAAAGACAGCGCCGGCGCGTTCTTTGCCTGTCTGCGCGTCCTGGTTGTCTGGGTACTGGGTACTGGGTACTGGGTATTGGCCATTGGGTATTGGCCCGCTGAGGCCTTAGCGGCATTCACTCACAGATGCCTGGGCATAGATATCGAAATGCAATTAAGTATTTGCCAAAGTCGAAGACGCGGACGAGCGCCACCAACAAAGCGGCCGCTGAGCGGCGGGGCAAGGCACGCATGGAAAAATGTGGCCAACGCTAGACAACAACGTCCAGTTGGTCTCCAGAGGGAGTAGGTTTTGGAGAGCAGCTCCAGAGGAGCTCTCAGTGTCCAGAATTCCCCAGGGGGAGCTGCAGAGAGCTGGTCGAACAGTCGGCAGTCGCAGAGGCGGACGGGACTGTGCTCTGATCTTTGCATAACATGGACTTTGAATGGCCACAGGGCTTGGCCATACTTACAAATTGGACTACACCTTCATTTTCACTTCTATGCGAAAAGGCCGCTCTTAGAGGTACACAGAGAAAAATAATGTATAACATTTACTTGAAATTTTATTGACGTATATATTATGTTAACAGAGGTTTTCCTTGTTTGATAGATGAAGTAATTTACTTCTTTACTTTATTTAGTTTCTTCTCTCTTTTATTTATCTTTCAGCAAATATAATTTTATTTTTAATTATTAAAATCCATTAAATTTTGTATATACATTTTGTATAAGCTTACTTAAAGGCAATTTTGTTAAATACATAGCTTAATTGTTTTCTATAAAATATTCTTCTTGAACAAGTATGAATTGGATGAAATCTATTTATTTGAAGAGACCTATTGAGACTTATTTTCTAATTTGAATATATTGTTGTAGAAAATGCAATAAATATCACAAAAACTCAAGTATTAAACTAGCTCAAATATATATAAATCTATTTAATTGCAATTAAACTGAATAAGGTAGACAATAAATAGTTGTGAGAGGTATATAGTATTTAAGAGAAGTTGGAATTTCCTTTAAAGAGATATGACAACAAAAGGGTTTTTCCCTTTCCCTGTTTTTTGTTTGTTCGACATTTATAATTTATAAATCTGTTAAGAATGAAATTTTCTATTCTTGGGAGTACATTTTTCTCCCAGTGAACCCCGTTGAACCCCAGAGGTCAGATCCAATCCGCGGCGCTGAGAACACACGCAAAGTGGGCAACTGGCGAGACTTTTGTTTGCTTTGCTGAGCACTTTTGGTTTCACTTCATTGGGATTGGAATAGGGATTGGATTGGGGATCGGAATGGGGCTTGGAATGGGGATTGGAATGGTGATGGGGCTGCAGACTTGGGTGGGGTTCTTTGGGCTTGGGGTTTCCTATCATTACCGCGCCGTGTTAAAGTTCAAGTTCAGAACGATTATTGTTCTAGGCGCCGAGTGCGGAGTGGCGGACCTTAAATTGTTTGCTCTACGCGCGATAATCTAATCCCATTCCCATTCCCATTCTCATTCCCACATGTACGGGCGTAATTTGTATAATTTCGCATAATTTTTCTGAAAATTAGCCAACGCCAACTCCGCAGACGCATGCAAATGCTCTGAGAGCTGTGAATGGTCTCTTGTCCAGGAGTGGGGGCTTCCTACTTTTTAGTTTAATTGAAAGACCCTGGGCCGGGGACAATTGCTGCTGCCGCTGCTGCTGATGCCAGGTAGTACAGACCCGACTCCAAGGTCCGCCAGGCGATACAAATTTTATGTTTATTACACCTTAATAATGCGTGTTTACAAACAAATCACGTTCATGGCGCAATCAACGCTCGGCAATCGGCATCGGGCATCAGGCATCAGGCATCGGGAATCGGACATCGGACATCGGCATCTGGCTAAGCGCCTGCCTCCCAGTCTCAGTCTCAGTCCCAGTTACAGTCTCAGTCCAAGTCCAAGTCCCAGTCCTAGTCCCAGTTCAGTCCCAGTCTCGTCTTGGTACCATTCCCGTCCAGCTGCTCTTCCCATCAACGTTTGCGGCGCACGCATGCGCACTCAAATTATATGGTAAAGGATTTTTATTGGCAGCTCGCAGCGTTTTTCCCTGCCCAGGATAGTCGTCGTATCTGCGTCCCATGGCCCATGATCGGACAGACGACCATTGGCCATTGATGTCTAGCCGGGCGATAGTGCTTGTTAGAGCGGAAAGCTGCAGTGCCCAGCACCAGACTCTTAAGTCTGGCTCCGATTCTGATCCCTGACCTGGGGCCTGTAGGAGAGCGATCTGGAAGTAAGCCAGTAGTGAATGAGCAGCGGCGGCATCGTCCTTGTCCAGGTGCCATAATAGACAGGCATTTTGCACACGCCACAGAGCTCCTTAAAATACTCTATACTATACTTAATTTGTAAGAATATCTGAAAATATTTAATAGGATAAAAAACTTCTGGGTTATTCAAGATTATTTAAAATCCTTTGTTACGAGACTTTGAGAGGGATTTAGGTTACTTAAATCGTAATAAATAATGAAAGATATGTGATTATTTTAATCTATCTAAAATAAGGTGTTTACTCTTTAATGAGAATCTGATAATATCTTATTTTTTCTTTAATTAGGACAAGAATTCTTTATAATATCCATCATCTTTTCTTATTTTTGTTTTAGTTTTACTTTTTATAAACTTTGTCATATAAATATAAATCAGTTTGAGATCTCTTTTACTCAGTATGAAGTACTGTCGATGACTTTAAAGGTTTTACAATAACTCCTCTCACAATATGTTAGTTTTTTTCTGTGTTTTTTAAGCCCTTTGATCCTATCTAAAACATTGAATTAAATTACATTAATCTCCATAATATTTTCAAGAATATACTGAAAAAGGTATCCGAAATTCGTGTAATGCCAGGGAGTCTCTCGTTTTGCAGTCTTTGCATGTGTGCGCTTGGGTGGGTGCGTGACCACGGAGCGGTTGTCTAAACTGGACGTTCTTTCTGGGGGATCTCTGGGACTGGCTTGGATCCCGGGCTGGATCAGGCGAAGGTGGAGGTGGAGGCGGGGATCGAGTGTCCTCGGGCATAAGGCATTGTTTAAGGAGAGTTTGCACTCTCGTATTCAAATATGAATATTATCGCGTTTGCTTAATCACAATCAATATTTCTACGGTTTTCTCCGCTCAGGCACTCCCCGCACATATATATTTATTTGAATTTCGTATGCAGCCCAGGCACCCTCATCGTGTTTCTATTTTTGTAATTGTCAGGGAGAAGAAACAAAAAATAAGAACAAAAAAGTAAACAATTTTATAAAAGAAAAAACTCAATTCGATTGTGCCCACACCCACCGAAACTGAGGGATCTGTCAGAGTGAGCGTTGGATTCGGAATCAGAATGAGAATTAATTGGCAATTATTCTTTTGACTGCTGTCATGTTTATACTCTTTCTACGGGTACAAAGAATGTGCTTAAAATGGTGTCATAATTCAAATTAAATTAACCTTAAACAGCACTTTAAATTGCCATTAGAAAGGTATATAAAAAAATAATATTTTTACTAGCTAAACACTTCATGTAATGAAAGAACAATTCATTTGTTACAAAAGAACTTGAAATGAATACTCAAGATATGAGGTATAATCTTACTTATAAATAATACTTTATTATATATGTTAATATTTTTCCAGAATTTCTATAGCAAATGTCTTTTTATAAATTACCATTTTCTCCTTCTGCCTTTCTTCTATTAAAAAGTCTACAAGTTCCCTTCGATTATTTCCTGCCAAATTGAATAACTAATTTACTTTTAATGCCACTTTCTTCCAACACTCGTCCACACTCGCATGTGTACAGTACATAAACATTAATATGAACCTAAAAACAAATTAAACACGAACTATAAATATACAGAAAAACAAACTAGGCCAAAGTGCTGCAAACTAAACTCAAGCTCTGCCTAATCACCGGGAAAAATAATCAAATAACATAAATAACCCACGAAAACAGACAACAAAGACCAACCAGAAAAATAGAAGGTATTGTTTACTCAGAGAATTATATTTCTTTTTGCAGCTTAAATCCATTTACAATTGCCTTAAATTAAATGGAAAATGTGCAGAGCTCGAACAGTTCAATGAGACTGTCGCACAAAGCGTTCCCTTAGGGTTGCAATTCTTCCGAAGATTCTTCGCGAAGAAGCCCCAACGACAGGAGAGAGAATAGCAAAGACAGAGCGAGATCACACACAGGAAGGATCAGCAAGGATCAACAAGGATACACCTCAGACAAGATGCAATTACCCCATCACACTGGAGCTTCGAATGGAGGACCCAGGGTCAGCTTCAATCGGGATGTGCACGTGAAGCGGATAGGTCAGTGTTAAGTGCCTAGTCCCTCCCCCGACGTAAAAGAATAACCCAAATAGTGAATGTCTAAAACCAGAAATTAAAAACAAATAACCAACACGCGCAGCAGCATCAGCATCCGAATGAGAGCGTCGGCCACAAGGCTCCCTAATGACAAACTAAGCAAAAAGCCAGAAACCTCATCAATAACCAGCTAACAAAAAATTACTAACCCGCATATATACATCTATAACTCTGTGTGTGTGTGTGTGTGTGAGTAGGCCAATTTTGGTCAATCATTGATGGACGCTAACAACCCACGCGAATGCAACTCATTAGCCAGCAAGTTCTATGGCAAGAGACTTGGCTTTCCATCTTCGATTGCATAAGAGCGCGAAGAGCCTCTTCAGCTTTTCAGTTTTCTTTGTTGCAAATTGCAAATTTTTCGGCGAGCAAATAGACAAATAATAAACACAAGTAGTATGTATGTGGAGAAGGCGAGGAAAGAAAAACAAAAAGAAACCTCGCGCTGGTGGGCGACTAAAGCCAGAACGAATGCCAAAAGCAATAAAAATAAATATAATAATAACAAAGCCGCCCCAACAATAAAATGTAGTTTACCTTGAGAATAATCGCACACACAGCACCACAGCCACACAGCATAGACGCCGAGTGGAGGAGAGCTTCCACATGACTATTTTAAATAAGTTGATATTTTATAAGGCATTACAAGTCGCCCAGCTTGGCATGGAGTATCACTTTGCAGCAAAACCCATCTCCAGGGGAGTGGAGCGGCCGAGGGACCCCTGGCAGAGCCATCTGCATCTGCATCTGCATCTGCATCTGCATCTGTATCTGGAGCTAGAACCAAAGCCGAAGCTGGACGCTTTGTCTCCAAGTATATTATTATTGTTATGATTATGTCTGGCAGCCGCGACAGCAACGACATGGGATTTATTTCATAGTCGGATTGAATTTATGGCAACTGTCGCCGCGATCTGTGGCTGCCGGGGAATGAAGAAATTAAAAATTGATTGTGACAAAAACCTAGGCACTGGCTAATTCCTTTCAATTTAGAACTGTCAAAGCCGGTTGCCTCTCGCATTTCCTTATGGCTCTTTAACTTGGCTAATTAACCGCAAGTCCTTTTCGGTGCGTAGATCTCAAATGGTTATGAACCAGATTTCCCCCGTCGATCGCGTAATTGCCTCAAATGGCTGCCATTTCGCTTAACTTGGCTTAATTGACGTAAGCGAATTTAATTGCAATTTGTGAATTGGTTTAGGCAAATGCTTCGAGGTTGCCCAAATGTAACGTGATTGGGTAATCTTCCAACCAGGCACGATTCATTAGCCAAGTTTGTGGAGGTTGCATTAGAGAAGATGTTTGTAATATTTGCTAAAAACTAAGAAGGATTTTGTACTAAATTAGCTAAATATATTAAGGCAGACTTGTAGTATTTTATTGTTTTATTTTTCGTAAGTTGAACTCCAAAGTTTGAAAGTTGATTGGTCTTTAAAACAAGTTCGTGGCCTAAGTCTTTTGATTCACCTCGAGTCTATGGCAAGATTTCTTTTATAAAAACAGAAAAACTTGTTAAAACGTTAGAAAACATTTTAAATTTATATATTTCAAAACTAAATAAATGAAATAAAATGAATTTAAGTTATAAATTATAAAAGTATTCCCAGTGTAAGGATTTCGTGACGTCTAAAGGGACTGCAATTAGCAATGTAATCCCGCCAGTCACAAACGCTTAAAGTAATTTAAGTTAAAGTTAAAAAATTAATTTCAGTCTCTCTTAGTCGCTATCTTTGCATGCAAATTAAAGCAATTATGTGTAAAACACAGATTTAATGATGATTTAATTTTGACGCAACAAAGCAGCTAGCAGAGAGATAAAGCGAAGAGGCAAACTGAGGAAAATTATTCGCCCGCTGGGCACAAGGCAACATTTTTCATCGGCAAGTTAACATGTGAATTTTCTGCTAAATTACAGTGCAGTCAAAAGTCAAAGTTGTTGACTGTAAATGAAAAAGAAACAAAAATCAACTAAAAGACGACTAATTTCAGCCAATTTGAGGCAGCGACGCTGCCACAGGTGAGCCTCGCTCGCATGGACCGCATCACGTTCAGCCTTGCGGAGCGACAAATTTGGCCAAGACGAGTGTCGGGTCGACAGCTGCTGCTGTGCCGCAGCCGATGATGCACTCGGTCCGAATGTGCTCGAAGGCGGACAGGTGACGAGCGAGAGAGAGGGAGAGGGAGGTGCATACAAGGGAACAAGGCCAAGACTGGGCTGGCTCCTGGCCAACTCGTTGTCCTTCCATCCATCAACTGGCACACATAGTAGTACCCGCGAGATGATGACATAATTTCAGATGGGCGATTAAAAAGGCGTTACGAGAACAAGTCCACCTCTGGCCAAGTCGAAGTCGGATCGAGGTGGAAGCGTAGGCCTCTCCCCGTAGACAGTATTGCGTAAGACGTAAGACAGACACATTTCCCCATTATGATGATGTGCTCTCTAATGAGCTCTCGTACACATTTAATTAATTAATTTAATTAGGCAAAGAGCAAGTCATTATTATGGGATTTGGCCACGACGTTTCCTACTGCTTTGCCGTTCAGCTCCACATTTGATTTGGCTTTCCGAGCGCCGAGTGTCGAGTGCGAACTTTGTCAAAGTAGCAACTGGTTTTAGTTTTTTGGGGTCTGCTCTCGTGCCATCTTTGGATCTTTGGGTTTTTGGGGAAGGCTGCTATTAAAATGCCATTTATGCTTTTTTATTAATTCATCATTTGCATATATTTTGTTTTATTTTCGTCTTATGTCTCTACGCGCTCTGCGCAACAAAACTTAATTAATAAGTCTCAATTTTTGGCTTGCCTGCCCACAAATTTCGCACTATTTTCTCGCTGTTTGTTCAGTTTCTGCGTATATTATTACCATTTGTAGTTTATTTGTTGTTGTTCTATGAGTTTTTTTCCTCAAGTGACATTGGCGTAGGCAGTCGCAGTTGTTGGCTGCCCCGCTCGACTGAGATTGCTTTCAGTCGCTTTTTATATTGGACTCGGTCAGGTTCTTAGCCGCCGCCTGTCATTCTTTTCGTTTCGAAACTGAAGTGTTTTGTGTCCAGTGAGAACATGGAGAGAGCCTAGGGGAATATCTATACACTCATTATATATCGGGTAAATTCGCCTAAATGGAGTTGTCGATCATCAAATCCCTTAGCTTAACTCCAGTTGTCGCAAATACTGAAAATCACTTCGAATTGCAGACGATTGCGTCATTTGTTTATCGAAATGTGTATTGAAATGAGTCGCAGATTATTTTTAGAGCTCTTTAACTCTTTATTTTTTCTTTTCGTTGAATGTTTCGGTTTTCTTTGTGCTTTTCGGTGATTTGTTATTTGTTTATCCGCTCTCGCCCAGCGAACGATCTGTAGCTGTTGCTGTTGACAGCTGCTTAGGGGGAGAAACAAGTTTGTCGCCTCAGTCTTTTGTATGGGCGCCATTCTTTAGCGAAAGTTCCCCTTTTCCATTCGCCAGTTTGCCTTTTGCCCCGTGGAATGGCCAGCGAGCAATTTTAATTGGACAGTTGCAGGTCCACAGGCCCTCAGATCCTATGGAACACGCCGATTTGCATACCAGGCTCAAGGCTCAAGGCCCCAAGGACGCGGCATGCCGCTTTTGATGTGATTAGGTCCTGCGCGGAGGAGCATTAAATTATTTTCATACGGAAAATAAATGCGACCTGTCCAGATAAAAGCCAAAGTCTAGGCCCTTAAATGAAATCGAAAGTGCGCTCCGGTTAATTGAAATACCCCATGGCAGCCTACGCAGATCTTTTTAGCGACGCCGAACTGGCACTGGAAAAAATGAAATGAAATTTGGAATCATTAACAAGTTTGCTGACCCCTCTCTAGACTTTTAGCTTTATAGGTTTTCTTGCAATTAGTTTGTGAACCTTGGACCCCATTAATATCATAATGAAGTGCTGTCTGCTAGGAGATTTCTCCAAGTGCAGGCCTAGACCAGTAGCTCGGGCCTAGAGACGGGCAAAGGAATGCGGGTGAGCTCCCATTTAGCGAACTGCCTCGACCTTATCTTGTCACTGACATGGCCAGCAGCAGGGGATAAAGCATTTTAGCCAACTAAAACGTTTTGCCAGCAACGGGGAGTGGGTTGAGGCTAAAGCTAAAGCTAGAGCTAGAGCTGGAGCAGGCTCTTCATCTTCTGTGGTTGTGGTTGCTCTTAATGAGGCGGACTGGAGGTCGCAGCATCATCACAATTACTGTGCGGTATCATTAAACTAAGGCAAAGCCATCGATGACGACCTGCTCCTGGCAGAGCAGTGTTTTGTGGCAAGTGAAAGTCGCCGCAGATTTCATTATTTATATGAGTCGAATTTCTGCTGATATTACTCTTTTTTCTGCTGGTTGTGCGTGGCTCTGGAGTTGGTCAGTGTGTTTTTGCCGAAAACCGGAACCGAAACCGAAGTCGAACCCCAAAAACTGAAACCCAAAACACACACAAACTTGCAACTGGGAAAGGCGCACTGGCCAGGGGCAGGGACCAGTTGGAAAAGTGGATCAGATGCTTTATCGCCGCGGTGGCTTTTCCAAAGTGGAACTTATTATGGGCTCCGGCAGCTCCTTATGGGCTGGTTAGGATGGCGTGGCCGCATAAACTGGATCAATGATTAGATTAATGAGTGCCTCTCAGCACTCGGTAATCAATCAAATGCCGCACTCACTGCCTGGGCTTGAATAGCACCAAAATAACCGCCCCAAGATCATTGTCTTCGGGGTCTCTATGGGAACTCTGTTTACGGTTGTGGCTCTTGAGTGCTCTTTGATGCTGTCGCTTAGTGCGAATTTATGTTTTCCTGTTGCCTCCAAAATAATACAAAACACTGCGCCGATATAACGAGAAAGATATACAAAAAACGCCGCCGGCATGCGAACGAGCGAACGAACGAATGAAACCTTGTAAGTTGGCCAAGATCGAGCCATCATGGGAGCTTGGAGAGCTGCACTGCATTTCACCTTGACACATATCGCCTGACAGCTGATTGCAGTCGCAGATGGATGTGTGTACAGTCGCTGGGAATAGTTTCAGTACCTGGAGTGCCTCCATCTCACATCTCTCATCGAGATCCCATTCCCATTCCCATTCCCCATCCCATTTCCAATCCCATTCTGTTAACGCTAAACCAATTTGGCACACGACACGCCCAGCTCTGTCATTATTCATTGTTGTTTGAATTTCGATTAGCCATCGGTGTCACTTTGCCATTTTGCAGCACGATTTGGATACGGATTCGGAATCGGTTTCGGATCGAAGCGAATGTGGGAGCGGTTCTTGGGGCTCCACTTCTCTCAGTCCACGAATGTGACAGGTTGTGCAGGTGAATGGACACTGCTGTGTCGAAGCTGGAGCGGCACAGGTTGAGGAGGAACGGCTTGGGGGAAACAGAAGTCCAGTTGATCTCGGGGCAAGGTCAGCACAGAAATGAGATGGCTACGATGATCTGAGATCTCGACGCAGAGCTCCAAGTTCTGAGATGTGTGTGTGTGCTACACGGCAAAAAAAACAGGATTTTTTGGTTTATCAACAATATTTTACTTGAAGTTAATATAGTTTTTATGGAACTTTTCTCTAGCAGACAGAAAAATGAATATGATATTCTGTAAACTTAATATTCATGCAGACATCATTGGGATTTATTTGGGATAACGTAAGATATCGTAGACTTCGTGATACAGCGATATTCTAACATAACGTATCTAAAATCAATGGGTTAATCCATATTTTAAACTTACATATCGTAAACATTGAGATAAACCGATATTCTGTTAAATAAATGCACAAATTTCATTGCTGATATCAATAATTTTTTGTATTTTGAAGAACCCTAACTATGGCGAAAACCTTGACAAAAAATCAATATTTTATTGTTTTGGTTAATAATGTGATACTTTATGATAACTTAATGATAAATGCAATATTTTGCAATATTACTATTCTCTATATATGAATATTTATATCGTTATACATATATTATCCGACTATTCCTGTCGATATACATTCCAAATCACTCTTAGATCACATAAATTCTTTTCGATATCTCGATACCTATATGTATTTATCGATGTATATATATTATTGGACTTTCCCTCTTGATATACATTTCTAATCCCAATTGATCACATAGAATATTTTCTCTGTCTGCAACTAGATGAGTTGGCCGGAAAAAAGGGGCTGACTGGCTGACTAGAGAGAGATCACGCATCTTGGCCGGCACATCTTGTTCTGACCAGCCGCGATGATGATGCTCGTTTCGGCACGTTTTCCTTGGCGTTCTGTTTCGTTCTGCCGGCCCCTCTGCTGCTACTCCGTTGCTCTGTTGTTTTCGGCGTATTAAATAATAATGATTATGAAAGAACAAAAAAAAACAAAAAAAAAGTGAGGAAGTGGAGAGGAATCTTTATGAGAGATAGATCAACTGGGACCGCAGCAGCCTCTTCAATGGCCATTAGCGCTTACAGCGCCCGATTACAGAGCAGGCGTTCCACCAGATCTCTTGGCATTTCAGCGTTTCCTCAGCATCCAGCATTGAGGGCTCCATCTCTCGGACAGACGGACGTGGGCTAGATCCATTGTCAGACGGCCGGCAGTCTCGATCTGTGAGCCCCGCCGAATTGGTATGGCATGGTATGGTCCGGACGGGACGGGCTGCCTTATTTAGCGACTAGTAGTTGGCAGCTGGCAAGTGTGAATTGGCCACAGCTGGCCGGACTGCCAGCCTCGGCCAGATATTACATCATCGCCGGGCTAATGTGCTAATTTGTCTTTACATGAATGCCAACTAGTTCGCGGAACTGCCTCTGCAATTGTGTATTTGAACCCTGTAAACCTCTTCACTTTTTGTCTACACAGAACTAAGACAATAGCCATATTCATGGGTTACAATTTTAATGACATTTTCAAGATTCTTAAATCTTAAGTAATGTCCAGAGAGTGTAAATTTATTTGGCTGCTAAGAATATATCAGTAGTGGGTAAAGAAGATGTGTTGCTTACATTTATCATATTTAGAGCAAGCCTAAAATGAATATTGGAAGAACACAGTCATATTTTACCATCAACCCAGATCCCCCCTAACCCATATGTATCTTTTATAAATATTTCACATAATTTTAACAAGTTAATTAATAAACTTAACCCATTTTTCTCTCTCTAGGCAAGCGTCCCAGTGAATACGAGCCACCGGCTAACCTGCAGAGTTATCATCAGTTGCCGCCGGACATCGATCCCGCGGACATTCGCAAGGAGGCTGCCCTGGTAATCGCCCAGGCAGGTCGGCATCATAGCAAAGCCGAGAACGGGGACCATATACCCAACTTCCGGAGCAAACAAAGGCGCCAGAGCCAACCCAGTGACTTCCATTCGCTGCCAACGCGCCGCAAGAAGGGCAAGCCGGTGGCCCGAAGTGCCAGTGACGCCTCCACCAAGAAGCCAGTGGTCAAACGACCTTCGATCTTTGGTCTCTTTAGCCGCAAGAGTGATCCCCAGTTGGACAGGGATCCGCGGTTCGAGGACGGCGGTGCCAGGCGTTTAGTGCGCAGTAAGAGTGATGTGGGCAGCAGTAAGCTAGCCAGGAAATCGGAGGAAAAGGCACACGGCAACCAGTCCCAGTCCAAGCAGCAGCTGAGTCCTATTATAGAGCAGGCGCAGCGCGAGGATTTCTTTGAGAAGGATTACTTCCGGGAGCGGGAACGCCGCAAGTCAGACGCCGTCACGCCACGCGAGAAGGATGAGAGTGGTCGCGGCTTGAACGAGCTGCTGGCCAGGAGTCGCTCCCAGGCGGAGATAGACGGACCCCTGCTCTCAAGTGGACCAGGACCAGGTACAGGAACGGGAACAGGAGCAGGACCCTCCATTTCGGCGGGTATCCGAGATAGAATCGAGACACTGCAGGCCAGATCCGGCGAGAATATGCATAGTTCCCAGCAGCCGGCGGAGCGCCTGCCGCTCACCAAAGGTCGCACTGTGGACGGCCTAGTCAAGCGCTTGTCCATGGAGCGCTTCTCCCCCCAGCCGGTGATCAGCCAGCCGGCCTTCTCGTACATAAGGCCCAACGAGGGCATCACCTATGCCCAGCTGGATCTGGGCGAGGATCAGGTCCGGCGCCCGTCCCTGGACCGCGACGTGCGCACTCCACAGCGGGAGTTCGCCCCGGCCAGGCCTCCGCGTGCCAGCGATGTCAGGCCCAGCTACTCGCCCACATCCAATGGCGTTCCCTTGGCCACCAGCAGACCCAGTCACTCGCCTTCGCCATGGCAGCAGCTAAGCCCCCGCAATCTTAGCGATGAGGATGAGGGACTGGGCTATGAGCCCCGGAAGGTGTATTACGAGGACGAGTTCTCGCGGCGGGCAGAACCACCCATTGTTCCGGTCATAAGGAGCGTTAGTCCTGCACCCTACCTAGATGAGTTGGGCTACCGGAGAGCCCAGCTGGAGACCCGCATTCTCACCAGACGCTTCGGCGAGGGAGCCACTCTGGAGAGGAACCGAGAGATGGGCAGACCCACTCCCGATCGTGAGCCAGAGCGCTTACATCGTCCCGTTCGCCAGGAGCTCTCCAGTGAGTACCCACCAGAGCGATCCCAGCTGGACACTGGCTCCACGCTGCCGCGCATGGAGAAGACCTCACGCTACCGCCACACCAAGTACTACGATGATGGACAAGGTGGCGTCAAGGAGACCTATGTGCGGGAGACCCAACGGGATGGTCAGGTCAGGGAATCGCGACATCGGGAACGCATCGGAGAAAGGGAGAGGGACTACAATTCGGCAGATCGACTGGAGCACGAGCCCAAGAGCCTGGACTCGCAGCTGACTGACCAATACCGATCCTCGCCAGAGCTGCGTGCCCAGACACAGACGCTGCAGCGGGAGACACGGGAGACACGGGAGCCACAGGACTACTGGCAGAGCAGCCTGAAGCGGGACAAGCTGCAGCAGCGTAGCTTCGACAAGGGTGACTCGGGCATAGAGAACGACTTCCGCAAGGAGTCCTTCAACGGAGACTTGACCACAAAGTAAGTAAGCCTTAAAGAACATTATTTATTTATTATTTTATTGATATATTTACCTGATTTTCTATAACATAAACCTTGATTTTATGCTCCTCCAGATGGCGCAAACGCACTGTCCATGATGACATTCGGGCCTGTGATTCTTTCCTTCGCAAGGAGCGTCGGGACAGCGCCCAACAACGCCAGATCCAACGGCAGGCGGTGCCATCCCGACTCCGCCGCGAGCACAGCTATGTGTACAGGGAACGCTCCATTGACGATGGCTCCCACTTCGACCCGCATCTGGACAAGTATCCGGTGGCCACCAGCACGCTGCGTCGTCGTGAGCAGCACTCTCAGTCGCAGTCCCAATCCCAGTCCCAGAACCAGAGTCGGGAGGATTCGGGCACCCTGAAGCGGAACAAGAAGCTGGGTGGCTTCGAGAAGGTGAAGCAGCTGTTCACGGGCTCGGCTGGAGCAGGAGCTGGTAGCCATGGCGGCAGTGGTCGCAGCAGTGGCAGCAATGTGTCCAGTGGCAAGAAGGATAGGATGAGCAATGGCAACAGCAGCACACTGAGTCGTCGCGACAAGGAGAAGGAGAAGGAGCGGGAAAAGGAAAGGGAGCGCTACATGGTCAGAGAGGAGGAGATGCGGTCGCGGTATCGTGAGCATCACACCGAGGAGGCCTTACGCGAACCAAAGGTGAGTTTTTCCATATATGTATATTTTCGATATATTAAATCTTGGTACATATAACATTAAGATAATTTCAAAGTTTTTGATAGGCAAACATCAGTGTAGTCGCTTTAGAAACGACTCCTTCTAAGGACGGTTTCTTTTAACTTTTATTAAATTAACTTTTTGCACACTCTTTTGGTTTATGAATTATGTAGTTTGAAATACATTACAAAATTTAATTATGGACCTTTTAGATAATTAATTTCTAATAACTCTGCCATTTAAAGTAAAATTAACATCAAATTTCCCATTATATCTAACATTTAAGTCGAGCTTGAAGGTAACTTCTGGTGTATACCTTGGTAGTATCTTCAGGTCGGCGCTATATTCCTTGACATAATAGAGTTTGTTCTAAAAGAAAAGAGTTTTAAGCTTATTTCCTTCAGACATTCTATTACTAACCCTTTTAAATGGACATGTCACTGGAAAATTGGATGTTCGCCGCACATCGTTGGTGAAAGCCCTAAGTAAATAATTTTTATGCTGGCTTTCTAATAACTCACAGTAGTCCATATCCATTGAAAAATAGTCCGTAAAGATTGAATCTCGTGCTAGGGATACTAACAAGTGGCCTTTGATGTCCTTTAGGTCCCTGGTTAAGGCAAACTCCACAGACAAAGAACTTCGCGTTGTTTCGTTTATATGACAGCTCACATTTTGCAATAATTCCGGTGAAGTCAGGCACTGCATTTTAGTAAAGTAAGCCCGCATCTATATTGTAACATGAAAAATTATAGTTTGTTTTTTTAGAATTATAATAAACTCTAAAACTTGCACCTACCTTAGCCCCAACACTCTGAGAAACGAGTGTTAAGAAAATAAGATGATATAAATGTGCAAAAGTTTGGATGTACATTTTACGGGTATAACTTGGTGTAGACTAAACGCCAAACCTTTGTTCAGAAAAAATATTTGTTCTAAATAAAATATATAATTTCAAAATAATCTATATAATTAGATATATTTATATAACAGTGCTTTCATTAAGAGATTTAATGGTTGGAACGATCAATTATTAGAATATTGACCGAAGCTAAACATCAGCCTATTCATTATTATCACTCAAAGTCAAACAGAATTATTTATATATGTAAATATCAAGGAATCTTTGTGGTTTCATAACGAATATTCTTGGGGTTTCTTTAAACCACAAACCCCTTTGGCCTAATGCTCAATTGATGGCGCCAGCTGGAGGTTATTAACCCCTGGCGAAGCAGCTCTCCAAGATCACAGAGTTTATATTTTTTCGGGCTCATTTGGTCGTGGTCGGCTATTATTAATTTCGAATTAATCAAGACTTGCTCCGATGGGTCTTACAACTTGGGGGAGTAACTATGGGCATAAGTAAGCCATGGGTAGATCTAGGAGCAAAAGCACTTCCTGCTCCCCAGACCCAGAGCTCGTGGGCGTTGCTGTGCGTCCGAAAATGGTCAAGACGTCACTTCCACCTCGAGCGGGGGGAGACAGATCTCATCCGAGGGGGATTCTTTGGGTGCCAAGACCATAAAGAAACACTCGCGACTGTGCTTAAGTAATAAACGACAACTGGCCAAATAGAGTTGGCAAAAAACGACAAACCATTCGGCGACGAGGCGTTGTATAAACTGTAACCAAGAACAAAAGCCTTATAGAAGATATATTTTTGTAGATATATATATGGGGGAGACCCACGCAGCTGCTGTCACTCTGTCATTCAGGCAGCCAGTCAGTTTGTCACTCTGTCAGTCCGTTTGTCAGTTTGCCAGTTTGCCAGTGAGAAAGCCGACAGCCGAGGCGGGGGAAATTGAATAAACTGGGCTTAGATTTGGATGCGAATTCGGTTCGCTTCTGGGCCCAGAGATTCCAATGCAAAACGTTTTCCAGCTACTGTTGCCGAGGTGTTGCAACTGCAACTGCAACAGTTGCTGCTGCGTGCCTCGAGTTAATTTGCAATGCTTGAGCGGATTTCTTGGCCAAAGTCTCAGAGGGCCAGAGGATGTTGCCACTTTTCGTTCTGCCGGATGTTCAATGTGGGCGTCCCAAAATGCTTGCAATCACAGTCCAGCCCAAGAGCAGATTTTATAGATGAGATGAAGAGAAGGCCCAAAGTCCAGGTTGCAGGAGTTTCATTGTTTTTTTGGTTCACAAGAATAAGGAGCAGGCCGGGATCATGGAGCACGCCAAGGTGTGGCAACCGAAAATTAAGCTTGCGTGATAAAGGCATTTATAAGGCATCTTTTCCCAATATGTGCCGCTGTCTGGGACAATGTGCTGCCATTATTCATTGGGAGGCCTCCAATAAAAAGAGCATGCCGCTGCTGAAGCCACCCGAAGTGTGTTCCGCAGAAATCTTTAAGTGCTGGCCATTCATTCCAAAATTCTTCTACATGCCCAAACGAATAAACACAAAAACACACGCGAGAGGGAGAGAAACCCGAACGAAATTTGTGTCAATAATTTTGTTAGTTTATTTATGGGGCCCCCAAGTTGGCCATAAACTATATTGGTTCTGGGCACACATATATTTGAATACATAATTACTTAGTGGGTGCGTAATCTCGGCTTTATTGTGCGACATTCCGAGCAGAGTTAATATATGCTTTAGCTATAGCTGTTTCTAAAGGTTTCTTTTTTTCCCAATTGAAATCCAATATGGCCAATCACCTGCCCAATACCCCAAATGTCGTGTGTCTGTCTCAGGCCTAATACAATTTCAACCGCAACTGGGCCAAAACGCGCCGACTCGCAATTGCATTCGCAAATGGCAAAACGGGTTTACTTACCTCGCCCCCAAGTTGCCCCTTTATTGTGGTGATCACGGCCCTCCTGACCACCTCCCTAAGCGCCTAAAGGCCACCTGCCCCACATTCGCAACCTGTTGCTCGGTGGGTTGGAGCGGGAGGACGACCTTTGACCCGAAAGCGAAAGCAAAACAAGCGCCAAAGTGAAGTTAAGCTTACGAAAATATCAATTTCAAATAATTTTATTATTATATTTTGAATATATTAAAAATGATTTGCTTATTATTTCAAAGATCTCAAAGAAGTTCCTATTATTAAACCTATTGTAAATGATGATTGTACTATTTAAACTTTGAAAATAACACTAATATAATAATGTACACCTTTACCTTCATTAATTTCGAAATTTACTCTTAATTTAAAATATTTCTTTCTGTGTAGACTATCGATATCTCGATGCGACGTCGCTTGTCCACGCCCAAAGCTAGTCCCCTGCTGGTGAAGCGGAGTCCCGCTGACAAGCCACCCAAGAAGCAGCCAAAGGCCAAGGAGACCACGCCGGCCAAGGTCGAGAAAACGAGCTGGTTCAGATCGCTGGACCGACGGGCCAAGAGCAGTCCCAAGGAGGTGGGATTTCTTCATATATTCCAAATATTTCAATATAATTACTACTATATATTTCTTTCTAGCTCAATGTATCCGTCAATGGACACAGTGAGACCACTTCCAGCCTGAAGAGGACCAAACGCAATACGACTGCGGCGCCAGCCAAGAATTTGCGCTTCTTTGGCGACACCGATCTGGATTCGAATCCGCCAACCATTTCCAAGGCCACCAGTATGCCCAGGTGAGATATGATTTAAAACCTAAGATAGGTTTGGATTAAAATCATGGAATGTTGAACAAATGCTTTCCAGCATCCGGGTTAAAGGACCTAAATGTTGTCTACAAAACATATTAAAAAAGGAGAACACTTATTGAATATTAAATATATAAATGAATATAATATGTAATGTTAAAATCCTCTGCCCTCTCCAGGAGTCGTCCCTCCTTGGGCCAGTCCAAGCACTCGCAGAGTGCCTATCACCTGGATCGCAGTCCACCGCCACTGGCCCGGGACTATCGCCACACGCTGGCCGGTCAGGCAGCAACGTCCCAGGCCCAGAGCCAGAGTCACAGCCAGACCAATGGCAATAGCAGCCGGCAAAGGGCCAGCTCCATGCAGCACTTGGACAACGGTCATGGCAGCGATGAGGTGGACTTCCGCAAGCGACGCCACTACTCACGCTCCCGGGAGCTGCACGACATCTCGGAGAGCGGCTCGGAGCCGGAGCCAGCGGAGCGACACAAGAGGAGCAGCACAGTGGCACAGCGGGCCATGTCGCTGGAGAGATCGATAGATGGACCCCGTAGGTCCGAGGATCGTCCGCTGCTGTTGGGACCCCCGAAGCCGGCCCGCAGTGCCGAGCGACGGGGTCTGCTCAATAGCTTGGGTCAGGAGAACTTGGGATTTGGCAGGTGAGTTTGGCCAGATTGGGATTTAATATTTTCGGAATGTATGTGGATATCCTTTCCAGGGATCGCTATCCGGCGGAGAGTTCCGGCACCGAGGGCGAGTCCAGCCTGCACAGCCAACGCAGTGTGGTCTACCTGCACGCCACCACAGTGGGTGACATCCCACAGCCATATAATCTGCGACGGCGTTCAATGTCGCGCGATGACCTTCGCCGGGTCAAGGGCAAGCAGTCGCCGCAGCAGCCGCCCCCTCTGCAGCCAATGACCCGCACCGTGTCCCGGTCTGTCTCCATGCTGGCTCCATGGAAGCCCAAACACATCAGCGAGGGATATGAGATTAACTATTCGCAGGAGCAGAACAAGAGGGTAATTTACTTGTAATCCTATTAAAAATTTAGAATTTAAATAGTAACTAATCTTTATTTGTTTGTTTTTTGCTTGAAATATATTATTTATTAATAAAGATATTCATATTTTAGGGAATATCTATATTCATTCTGTGTAAACTAACACAATTAATGGGTTTCCGAGACACCTGTTGAACTTATTAAGAATTCCCTACTCAAATTCTAAACTTAATCTGTGAAAGAGAAACCCCGAAGCAGGCTTAGTTATTCTAGAAATGATAATTTTAGTCTTCTAGTCGATAAGCTTCTATAATTTGCAACAGGTTCTGGTGGGTCATTAGCTGAATAAAGTTGATCAACAAATTATGTTGGACAAATAAGCTAATGGCATTCCTAAGGAAATATAGTAAGCTGGTGGAAGAGTTTAAATTAAATGGTGATTTAGAATTACAAGTTAAAGTAAATGCATCTTTTTCTCATTAAAAAATATATACTGAAAGAAGATTCTAATGTTCCTCTATATTGCTTATTTACATCTTTAGATGTCCACACTGCCGCGCAAGCCTCCACCACATAATGGAGCCACCAGTGCCAGTACCCTAAGCCGCTTGGGCAGGAAGAACGAGACTTCGGGGCGACGCTACCACATGGACAGCCTGGATCGGCCACCTCCACCGAGGTCCGTGCTCTCCGCATCGAATTTACGCAGCGCCAAGACGAAGTGAGAGTTCCAGGATACAACCCGAACCTGGACAGGACATTCCCCCCGGTGCTCCAAGTGTGGAGGTCTCGAGCATCCTCCCCTCCAACCACACCTAGTTACTAGATGTAATCCTTAAATCGAACTCGATCGAAATGTATTTCTAATCACTTCACCCGATGGAGGCAGGAGCACTCGCACATCCCCATGAGATGAAGGGGGGCGAGGTGCGTTGCCTTTTGATTAGTTGCTTAGGAATTCTTTAACCTTTGTTGCAATTCTCGTCATATTTTTTAAATGTGAAATGTATTCGTACTCCAGTAATAATTATAAATTAATAAAATATCAGACTTTAACTAAAATTGTTATTTATGAAAGTTATTGTGGGGTTTTGGGGGTTAGGGGAATCTCCTTATAATTTGTTTTTACTCTACATCGGTAGTCCTGGCAGAGCTTTTACAGTTGAAAAATATATTTTGTTCAGGACAAAATATCTCTTCATAGTATATACTGTAAGGATACTGAACAATAAATATAAAATTGACATTTAATAAAAGCGATATTTCCTGATAAATCGGTAAATTATGTTTAAATATATTTTAAATAAAATCTGTGAAAAAGAAATACCTAACCATAAAATTGATTCTAAATAACATTAATATAAGAACTTTAGTTAAGTTCTAAATTTTTCGATACACTAAATTTTGATTTATATTAAATTTTATTATATTTTATGATATGATATTGATAGATATATTTTCCTTGATATTTGATAAATGACTTTTAGTGTCAATATATATAAATATATCCCCAGAATGAGAAGAGAATTTGTACTGAACTGTAATCTACCTAAAATTTTTATATTTTCTCTACATTTTACACTACCTACAGTGGCTCTAAAACCCAAACTTAGCCAAGTTAGCAACACCCCTCCAATGGCTGTCAAACCATAAGAAATGCTCCCTAAACTGTCAGGCAGATTGTTTAATTTTCAAAGAAATGCATCTGTTGACCGATTGCCCGACCAAAACTAACCCACTAAAACCGCCCATCCGTCACGCCCACCGACCGAGAGTGCATAAAAAAAATATGTGCATAAAGCGGAAGGAGCAGGAGGAGGAGGTGAAGGAGGGGAGGAACTCAACATAAATTATTTTTCACGCAGCTAATAAATTATTCGCAGTCACTCAACACCCAGCAAAAACACATTTCCGCCGGCACGCTTTCCTGCAACATCTTTCGGGCTTGCAGCAGTCCTGCAGTCCTGCTGTCCTGCAGTCCCTCAGCTTGACTCGCCTCGTCTCGATGCTGCATTTTCAAGGATAATTGCGAAAAATACAGGCTACCCTCCCCATGAGTACTTTTCCAAGCGAGGCACAGTGGGTTTTGTATTGGTGTTAAATGGGAGAAGGTATGGAGTTTGTCTAGAAGAAATCTATTTGGAAGAAATAAATTGGAAATGAATTAACGAGGTAATAAATATGTAAAAATTAACTAAATTTATTTACATTTATTAACTTATAAAGACTCCATTTAAAGTATGCGAGTTGAGCTTAGATTTTTCATACTGTTAGAAGACATGTCAAGAAAGAAATAAATTATTTAAGGTACATGACCCATATTGAATTTAATCAGACTTCGGAAATACTTTAGTTCCTTAAAACCCTATATACATTAACTTTTTATTTATTTCTTACCAATAAACCAGACATCTCGTCCAGAGTGCGTTGGGAAATGGCCTGTTAAGGGGGCAAAGTGGCTGCGGCGCGGCGCGGCGGCGGTGGTATTTTAAAGTTCAGCAATAAATTTATAGCTTCGCTCGGGGCATTTGTTTTTATATGGAAATCCGCCGGCACCCGGCTCCTAAAACTATGCGCAAAATAAGCAGGATCGTAGAAGTAGTGGCAGCAGTAATGAAAAAATTGCTTCGAGAATATTTTCTTGGAGTAAACAAGATTTATTTGATAAATTTTCGCCTCATCCGACACCAACAACCAGAGGGGTAGTATGTTAAGCACTGGGCGAAAAGAAGGGGTTATTAAACCCAACCATTAGCCATTTAATCAGCACCTGGACAGACACTAGCTGATGTTTATTGTCCCTGGAAGACTACTCCATAGTATCATCATCTGTCATCCAATGGGTGCAGTTTTCCTTAATTAATTTCCCGCCTCCTCCACACACACTCGGTTTGGTGGCCGGGGTGGAAAATTGCAGGGTTTTTAATTCTCCTAAGTAATTGGAATGCGTATATCCAGGTTGACAGTGCAAAGTGGAACGCCAATGAATGGTAAAGGACTCAGATAAGGATCTCTATCTCTATCTCTCTCTCTTCCTTAATCCTTTGTTCAGGGATTATACCAGTTAATTCATGAACTAGCGGGAATATATATCAAATCGATGGCCTGTCAAGTTGATTTCAATTACCCTGTTTTTCTAATTCTCTCCGCTCAATTAGGACACTCGAAATGTGTCATTAATTAAACGATTTCGCCACCTAATGAGGCACACAGATATCCAATTTTAATTGGCCGCAATATCTCTCACAAATGAGAAGTAAATTTATTAGCTATCTATGTACATATAAACATAACTTAAATTCCCAAAAAGGAGTACGCGCTGAAAATTCACAAATCCAATAAAAATAAATGCCAAATTAACTCTTAGCTGGCCATATCCATCCATCAGTTAAATATGCAAATTATGGATTATTAAACATTAAGTATTTGACTTCACCCGATACATGATTGAATCGAATTCTAACAAAAAAGTGTTCGCACTCCAATTATCATTATTATTTTGCAGCTTTTTCCCAATGCCAGAGTGAAATTACATCAAAAAAATAAATACATAAATCGATGGGGGTGGGGAGGGTGGGGAGGGGAGGCACTGCTCTCGATGGCAATAAATTTATAACCCTTTATATTTCAATTTATGGCTTTAAATTAATCCAGGCAAATAATGCTGACAATTATGGATTAAATGTGTCAATAATGCAAGTGTTAACAAATTGCTTTCAGCCCGGGAGTGGACTCCGGTTGTGGACTCGTAGCCTGGTTACCCAGGACATTGGATCTCCTTCACCTGCAGGCCCTTAATTAATGCCCAAACATTTTTAGAATTAATGCCCACTTGTCAGCGTGGCATCCAAGATAAATTGTCGCCCTGTGAGGTCAGCGGTCGAAGGAACCGCATCGAAGCCACTGGCTTAGGACTTGGCATCCGACGGATGCGGATGTGGATGCGGCTTCTGGATGAGGATTTTGCATCCTGGATGCATGTGTGCATGCCATGCGGTTGCTTTGCATTTCGCCTGCTTATTACATATAATTTCGGTTCGACTGTGTTCACATTTCAATGCAAATATTTACGTATGCATGAGCCCAAATTGGTTTTGCACAAATCGCAGACACAAAATGCTCTATTGTGTAAATAATTAATTTTTGCAAATTTAATTACTTGATATCGAGACGGAATGGAGTCGAAATTAAGTCGGTTTCTTTGTGCTTAGCTCGGATAAAGCTCAAGGGAAAGAATGTTGTCCTCATTTTTGTAGAGGACATACATGGATATTTTTGAAAGTGAAAGCTGTGCTTAAATGTCATATATTCTTACTCGGCATCGTGCGCTTGAGGAAGTCCTTTAAAATCAAAATGATTGGAACATGGAACGAACATTAAACGTGGATTTCCACAGGTATTAGACGTGAAGTTCAACTTCTTGTTGGCTGATGCTCTGTAAGAGCGGATAAGCCCCAACTTCCACCAGCTCTTCGAGAAGCTAATAACTCTATCCATAAAGGATACACAAAATCTTGAAAGTCATCAACGAAACCATAGGTTAAAAATGCAATCAAGTAAGCCTTATTATTTTCCTTAAATTAAATATAAATTATCCCTGACTTTTACTTTAACTCACACAACAACAATAGGAATCTCATTTATGATGGCTTATCTCGCGATCCGCACAAACAAACAACAAATTACAAAAAGTCGGAGTTGAAAAAAAGTGGGAAGCCTTTGAGGAATTTGCATATGTCGAGAGCAGGCAGTGAGTTTCTACCAGAAAAGAACCATTTATCAATTAACCGAGAGTCGGGAATCACAACGCAGCCCTTTGCGTCGTCTGCATCGCGGCGCCAATTAATTTTCGCTTTTGGAAATCAACAAACAGGGCAGAGTGGGAAAAAAGAGCAAAAAGTTGATTAAGGACAGCATAGTGGATGCCACATTTAAATACGGAAGCGATAAAAGTGGCTGGGAAACGCTTATGTAATGCCCATCCTTCAACTCCGGAATAGTTGCTCCAAGCTCGCCGCCGACGCCGCCGCCTGGGCTAATTAATCATCGACGTTTATCCGACTTGATGCAGAACTAAACAAATCGTTTCAAATTATTAAAATCATTTATAATGCGAACGATGACGATGAGCCACGCAATCCGGCGGAAGGCCATGGCGAAGGATGAAGGATGTGCCGCGTGCGTCTGGCGCCGGCCACTGAAGATGCCCCACGTCCGTGGCATGTACCAACTGCTCTGGCTCCTTGTTCTGCTCCTGCTCCTGCTCTTGCTGCTCTCTTGCTTTTGGTTTGGTTGTGCTCCACCAAGTCTGTTTCTGTTTCTGCTGTTGCCAAACATAAATCAGTTGGCCATATTAACCTCCTCTCTGGCAGCCAGAGATTGGGGCAGGGAGACCGGAAGACGGGCAGGACACTCCACTTCATAGGGATGTGCTCGTGTTCATCAGCCATTTTTCATAATTGCTGGAGATAACTAAGGGGTCTTGAAAATTAAGCAGGATATCAAATGAACGAAAGCGAGCATACTCGATTCTGGGTTTTTGTATTTCAATTTTTAAGGGAAATAATATATTAATTCATTTATACATTCTTTGGGGTTGTAAGCTCTGATTGAGAGATGGTCCAATGTTTTTGATGCTGGGATCAAGTCAATGCAAATTGACCTGAATATAGAGGGCCGTCATAGTTACTAATGGTCAGGTTCATATAATGGAAAGCATCAGACATTATCAATAGATTATCTGTATGATAAATAGCATTAATAAAGTAATTACTTGAGATAAATTACTTACATTACTTAGGACAAATTAAACACTTTCTAGAAGTAAACAAATCCGGAACGCTATATCCTTTAACCGATATCTGTGACCATCTCTAGGACTGGACACACACTAACTATTTGGATTTTTAGCTGCGTTCGCATCCGCGTTGGCGTTTGCTTTCCCATTCGCATTCTCTTATGGACCGGCGTGACCAATTAAAGTCGATGTTGTGCGTTTTATTTATGTCTTCTTGTGGTAAGCACGCCGCGGCA